TGTGTGTGTGTGTGTGTGTGTGTGTGTGTGTGTGTGTGTGTGTGTGTAGGGGTGGTGGTGGTGGGGAGCGGAGGAGGGGGGGAGGACTCCGCCTAGAGAGTTTTAGGTTACCCGCGAGCCACACAAGGACCTTGTGTTGTTGTTGTTTCAAAAAGCAATCGCTGCTCGTAAAACCCACAGCAGATAATTTTAATGCCTCCCCCCACCCCCCCACCCCGCTCCTGCCTGCCTGGCCCCGGAGGAGTGGCAGGGGTGGGGAGCTGTGAAGAAGTTCGGGAGAGCAGCACCAACATTCAAGGATCTCCCCTGGGTTGGATCGGTTGAACCTTGGTCTGATTGGAGTTTCTGAACAACACGAGATGTGCCAATTCTGTGCACAGGACGGGGTTGTCCGGGGCGTCGTAAAAAGGGGAACCGGCAGCAGCATTGTGTTCATTTCTGGTCTAGATTATTGCTCTCCCCGCCCCCTCCTATTGGGCTAATAAAGAATTTCACTGCCTTAAAAAATGTATCTGTTAAACCACCTAGTGGTTTCTTTGGCAAAACATAAGGGAGGCAATCTCTGGGCCGGGATCATGGTAAGGCAGATCAGAGCCTGGACCTCCGGGTAGCAGCATGCCGGCACCCAGCGGAATCTCCCCAGGAAAGTAGCTGCGACTTGACTTCTGAGCAAACAAGGTTGGCTTCCCAACCAAATCGTGCTTTCTTTCCTGGATATCCTCTGGCCCCGTTTCCTGGATGGCTAGCCCCGTTACCACCTGTTCCCTTAGCTGCTTCTTTCTTCCTGGCTGTGGCTACTCGGGAACCGTCTTTATAGCTGTCGTTCATGGAGGAAAAGCTTTGCAAAAACCTGACTAACTTAACGACTGGCCAGATGCTGGCCTGGTTACATCTGAGCCCACCTTTCACTGGGAGATCGGATTGGCAGCCACTTAGGAAAGAAAAGTGTTTGTCCCCGTGTCGGGCCGGCCCTTGCTTTTATGGCCAGATGTGCAACAGCAGCAGTTAAAGGGCGGCAGATTAGATCCAGGGTGTGTCATAAATCCTCGACAGCGTTCCCAAAGCTGGGGCACCGTCAGGGCTCCAGGAGTGACTTTTATGGATGCAGATGAGGATGCCTTTTAAATGAAGCTGATGGTTTGATATGAGGGCTCGAAGCTCTTAAATTCTGAGGTCAGGCAAGAGAGAGCCACGGCGTTCCCTCCAATAATTAGGAACAGTCAAGACAGAGATGCAGACCAGAGCACCCTGACTGCAATCTGGATGCCCGCCCACAGGAGGGTCCAATCGAGAGAGGCCCTCCGACAAATGGTGGGGGGCTTGCTTGCTGCCGGGCGTGTCTCACATCTCAGGCCATATGGCTTTCCTTCCCTACCTCCTTGAACTGGAGGAAGCCAGGACTTCAGGGGAAACAGACTCTAAGTTTCCCCGCCAACTTCTTTAGTTTATTAATTTGACAAAAAGGATGGAAGATAAGCAGGACCTGTAAATAGGTTCGCTTATGTCCCAGCTTGCTCTCTGTCAAACACACACACACACACACACGCGCGCGCACGCATACGCACACGCACACACACGTGCACAAGTTTACAATGTACTAAGGCAACACTGCTCTTTTTAAAAAGATTTATTTCTTTACTTTTAGTTATATGCTTATGTGTGTTCCTGTAGATGAATATGGGCATGCGGGTGTAGGTGCCCTTAGAGGCATCAGATCCCCTGGGACTGTGGGCGGTGAGCAGTGAGCTACCCCACATTGGTTCACAGAACTGAACTTGGGTCCTTGGAGAGAGCAGCAAGTGCTTACTTATAACGACTGAGTCATCTTTCCAGCTGGGAAGCAGCCTTCATAAGCATGTGGTTATCTGCTTGCATTTATAGGCAATGATAACAGCCACCACTTATGAGCATTTGGGTTTGGCTTTTTATACAGCCCTTAAGAACAAGAAAGGCAGTCTTTTTAGACTCATTTTGGAGGTGGGGAGGCGAGACATGGGGCTCACTGTCTTGTTTGCTTTGCTGGTACATACCCGGTGTATGTACGGCCCTGGGAGGTTTGCAAGGCCTAGACTGTGTGCTTCCAGCTAATGGGAAGGATGACTCCATGAGAAAGTTCTAAACCCCAGTGCTCCAAGCGAGATTGCAGAGGAATCTTTCGTATCTGTATTGATAAAGGGTTATGTTTGGATTTCAACCCTGTCTCAAAAGATACCATCTCTCTTCTGTGGCTTCTTGGTGGCCCCAGAAATGTGGCTCTGGTCGAGAGCAGTGGAATCATAGGAAGAGCAGAAACATCTGGCTTGTTGCAGAATTCCCTCTGGGCACCCCGAGGTCTCCTCTCTTAATCTTTTGAGTGACAGAAGCTTAAGGATTGCCATCTTTCCCAGCTGGCTTTCTAGGAAACTGAGAACATGCCCTTTCGCTGTAACTATCTGACTCACTAATTGAGCTCCCTTGAGGCCCAAACCCCAATCCTTTGCCCCCTTTCTGCTTCCTGCCTTCCTTCATAAAATCCCTGACATTTGTTTGACTCTGGAAACCAGCAGCTATCAAGTGTCAGATTGGAGGCTGCTCTGTAGGAAGCACTGATGCTGCTCCTCTGAGGCCATCTGGGAAGCTGGTCAGTGCTCTTTCGGTTACGGAGCGGGCAGTCATTTCTTCCAAGAGGCTGTCTCAGGCTGATGAGGTCTGAGTGACGGACAGGCCAAGGGGACAGCCTTTGTTTACACTTCTGTCTGTCCTTGAGGAGAGGGAATGGGATGAAGGCTGAGACCAAACCTGTCTTGTCCATCCATGTACAGGTCTGGGCACCTGGTAGAGATTTACTCTGTCAGTGTTTGCGGAACAAAAACTAAAAAAAAAAAAAAAACAAACAAACAAACAAAAAAAAAAACGGTGCAGATAATGAATGTTTAATGATGATTCCCTGAGCAACTCTGGTGTCTGAGTAAGACCAGAGGCTGGAAACATTTAAGAAATGTGAGAAAGGCTTCACAGTGGTGGCGCACGCCTTTAATCCCAGCACTCCAGAATCGGGCAGATCTCTGTGAGTTCCAGGCCAGCCAGGGCTACGCGGAGAAACCTGTGTCAAACAAAACAAAACAAATAAATAAAAGAAATGTGAGAAATAGGAGAATGTGGGAAGAGCCAAGGGGTGTGAAACAGAAATCAACTTCGTAATTATTTTAGGTATATTCTCTGCTCCTTGCCCTTTATTGAAGTCTCACTCACTATGTAAGGCTGGCTGGTCTGGAACTTTCAGTTATAGACTAGACTGGCCTTGAGGCCAGATCTGCCCACCTCTGCCTCCAGAGTGCTGAGAGTAAAGGTAGGCACCCCTCTGCCTGGCAATTATTCTTTGTTCTTTTTCTTCTTATTTTAACTCCAGCTCCAACATCACTCGATAAGAAGGCTTCTTAACTTTTGAGTCCTACAGCAGTGAGCCATCTCCTCTTTCCCAGCATTGTCATCCCCTGGACACTTCATGCCTGATTCTGTCTTAGAAATGAGGAAACTTGCAAGCTCCTTGAAGCAGGATAGGAATCTGATTCATCCGTGTTCTGGTCAGGTTGTAAAACACTCGGCTAGCAGATATACGCAGTAGACTGTATGGAGATGTCCAGTCTGGCCCCCGTCCCCCACTGTCATTTGAAATTATTGGCTTACAAGCTGGGCTTTCCACTTTCAGGTTTTTGCTCTTTGCACATGCAGTGATTGTGAGAAGGCTGGGGCAGAAGAGGCTTAGTGAGCATCTTAGATAGGGCAGTTGGCTTTACCTCTATTCTAAATCTCCATTTCTCTCTCCGATTTGTCAAAAGCAAAACAACTCCGTGCTGTTTCCTCCCATTGGGCTTTCATACTTCAGTGTCCGGACTAGGGTCTCTGCTCTTTAGGTTTTCTCCCTGTTGAGAACTTGATTTAAACATTTTTGGTAAACTGATATGTGACACTTAGAGAAACCAAGCTGAGGGGTTTAAGAGAAGACGCATGCATCTAACAAGTGCTAGGCACCAGAGCCAATCGGCAATCATCTCATCTCTGAAGTTGAGGAGTCACATTTGGTGTGGCCTAGTAATCCTACTCTGAGGCATGTGCCCCTTAGAGAAGCTCAGGCTGAGCAGGGTGCCACTGTGTGCCACTGTGCTGTTGCTACCACAAACCTGGAAGGAGCCCAGCTGCCCATCAGTGGGAGGACAGATGAACAAATTGGGATGAGCTCACACCATAAAACATTCTACTCAGGCCAAACATAGGAGTACGAGCAGCATGTAAAATGCTGTGAGATGGCTCAGTAGGTAAAGGGCTTGCTATGCAAATATGAGGACTTGAGTTCAAGTTCCCAGAACCCACATTAAGCCAGATTTGGTATTGTATATTTGTAGTTCCAGTACTTCTACCAAGAGATGGAAGATAGACACAGGAGAATCTCTCTAGAAGCTCTTGGGCCAGCTCCCAAGGC